CCACTGGAAGTCAGAGCCCTGCAGGATGCACCAGGCAAGATGGAAGGGGGAAAGCAGACAGGCTGGGACAGGCCATGAGAGCACTAGAGGGACCAGGGCTGGAGAGCAGGGCCCCCCTCTGCCCTCACCCTCTGCAGGGTAAAATGCTGCTGGTCGCTCTCGGGGGGCAGGCCATCACCCACAAACTGCAGCTCCAGGGCCACGTGGGGGAGCAGGACCAAGAGCTCCTGAAGGACAGAGAGGAGGACAGATCTGGGTCCTACCTTGTCGTCTACCCCCACACCCACATGCCCAACCCTCGGGCCTGGGGAGACTTACCCAAAACACCATGACAAGGTCAAACTCCTTCCCAGCCTCTACCACGTGTATTTTCAGTGACTGTTTGTTCTGGATGTTGAGCTCAGGGACTGGGTGATAAGCCAGTTCTTTAAGGATGTTGTCTTCCCTACCTCCCTCTCTTGCGCTCCCCCCAACCTTCCCCACCCCAGCCCTCCCCACCCCGGGCCCAGCTCTCCTTACAGGACAGGGGCACCAGGTGGGTGATGACATAGTACACGGTCAGCGGGTAGGTGAGAAGCACAGCCATGGGGGAGTCCAAGCTGAGGCCCCGCCATGTGTAGTAGTCCTGCCATGAGCCTAGGGGGGTGGCGTGGGTTACTGGAGGACCTGGCCCTGGGCCTGGACCCCAAGCCCCTCTAGTCCATTAACCCTTGTTTTCTCAGCCACTCAGGCTTCTGACTCTCCAGTCCTTGTCCCTCCCCCTAGCTCCCCACAGGCCCCTTCTGGCTCACCAAAGATGCCTCTGGGTGGATCTGGGGGCACAGGAGGCATCAGGGCAGGCCCGTCCCCCTGGAGAAGCTGGTAGGGATCTCCTGAGAGGACGAAAGGAAGCAGAGGGGCCTGGGCTCAGGGAGACCCCACCTGACCCATCTCCCTCGTCCTTCCAAAGGAGCTGTATTTCCTGAGAGGGCCCGGGGCTGCAGGAGGAGGAATGGGGGTTTGCCTAGGGATGGGGCTTCTGGGTGGGGTTGGCAGGGGTGACTCCTTTGAGGGCTGGGAAAGGCCTGAAACGGCCCTGGTGGTATGGGTGGGGGTTTGGCGTGTATGTGGAGGGGTTATCTGGGAGCCAGACAACTTTTCCTCCACAGTCCTCCCCTCAAGGGGCCATGCCTGAAGAGATCCCCCACACACCACTGAGAAGAAGGCTGAGGGATGGCATGTTGCCTCGGGGGTGCCCGGGGGTGCCGGGGCCTGGAATCAGCATGCTGAGCTGGGTCCAGTAGCCACGAGTGAGGCCCCGAGAGGCCAGGAAGGCCTCCTTGTTAAAGGTTTCACTGGTCACCTCTGGAGAAGGAAAAGGGGAGGAATTGAGGGCCTAGTGGCTGGGACCCCAGACTTGAGCTCTCCTCAGCCTCCCCTGAGTCTGGTTCTAGTCAGGGAGGGAACCTTGTCTCTGAGTGCGTACAATGCACCACATAATCCTTGTAACAGTTCCATGGGTCTTACATTTGTTAGAATCCCTCTTTTACAGATGAGGAAACTGAGGCTCCAAGAAGTAAAGTGATTTGTTGAAGGTCTCACTGCCAGTTAGTGGTGGAGCTGGGAAGCAAGCATTCGAGTCCCTAATCCCCAATCCGCTAAACTCGCTCAAGGTCCCAGTCACTCAGTCCTCTGCTTCAGAGACCCTCTCTCCAGCCCCCAACATGGAGTCCCCAGCCCTTATTCCAGGGATCTAGTCTCCAGTTTCAGGCATACAGCCTTCAACCCCAGTAACCTGTTCCCAGGCACCCAGGTCCCAGTCCCAAAGATCTGGTCCCAGTTTCCCCCAACCATTCTAGCCTCCTTATGGTACCTGCAGTGTAGGTAAAAGGCAAGGAAGCTAGTTCCCCTGCTCGCTCCATGAAGGCCGCAAGCCTTGGGCACCAAAATCGGTGGCTCACATCATCTGGGCATCGCCGCCAGTCAGCCCGGAGACAAGCCTCTCCACAGTACAAGACAGCACTACACTGGGGACTGGGGACACAAGGCACCTAGTGTTAATCTAACCTCCCAAGTAGCTAGGACTACAGGTGTGAGTAGCCTCGACACCAAGTAGCTAGGACTACAGGTGTGAGTCACCATGCCTGGCTAATTTTTAAAAATTTTTCGAAGAAATGAAGTCTCACTATGTTGCTCAGGCAGGTCTCAAACTCCTGGGCTCAAGCAATCCTCCTACATCAGCCCCCCAAAGAGCTGGGATTATAGGTGTGAGCCACCGTGCCCAGCCTGTAAATGGCTTGTTTGTTTTTCCCTCTCTATCTTAGCTCCTTGCCCCTCATTTTGTCTGTCTGCTAGGCCCCCCCACCAGCCTACTTTTTTTCTGTTTGCTTGTCTGTTGGGGTCTTCCTCTCCCTCCAGCTTCGCAGGCTGCTCACCAGGGTGTCAGCTTCACTTCAAAGCTGTGCCTGTGACAAACATGGCACGTTCGAGCCCGAAGGGAAGCAAAGGTGAAGCCTGGTCGGGGACCCCATGTCCGCATTGGGGTCTTGGCTAACTTCACGCCCAGCCTTGGTACTCGGTTCTCCAGCTCTCTGAATAGGAGTGGAGATGGCATCAGGCTGGGGGGCTCAGGAGTAATCCAGGTTCCCAGACTCCCCCACCCTCAGATTCCACATTTCTGTACCGATGCAGCTGGGCGTCTCCCACAGTAAGCTGTCGGGGCTTTCGGGGATCCCCAGAGCCCATGGGGCAGGCCATGCTGTGGCAGAGGAGAGCATAGGCCCGAGAAGCCAAGTTCTCAGTCCCTGAGCCCCTGGTGACAGTCCCTTGGGCTCCATCCATTAGCAGATCAATGCCCAAGATGGTGCCATGCTCATCTGTCACCAGTAAGAGGCAGGACAGGTGCAGGGGTGCAGCCTCTGAGGAAAGAGGGAAAAGTTGGGGTGGGAAGACAGCAGGAGACAAATATGGTCACAGTGAGGGGTTCCAAACTCACATGCCTAACAGGGGCTAGGCTAGGCAAGTAACTTCAGCGAGTACAGGGGACTAGGCAGAGAGGGCATGCTCCTTCCCAAGGGGACAGCTGCTGCCTATGACCAGAATGCACTGCCATGCAGAAATATAGGCCCCCTGTCACAACTTTAGAATCTTCTTTTTCTTTTTTTATATTTATATATTTTTTGAGACAGAGTCTCACTCTGTTGTCCAGGCTAGACTGAGTGCTGTGGCGTCAGCCTAGCTCACAGCAACCTCAAACTCCTGGGCTCAAGCAATCCTCCTGCCTCAGCCTCCAGAATGGCTGGGACTACAGGCATGCGCCACCGTGCCTGGCCAGAACTTTAGATTTTTCTTGAGAATGTGTAAATGCAGATTTTTGAATTATTTTTCTTTCAATGTTTAAATGTTGACTCAAAAAAACAAAAAACATTGAGGGTCAATGAAAACACCTTTTCTGGGCAGATTGGCCTGAAGGCCACCACCCAGAACTCCCCCTGGGTTCTGAGTGGCCTGGGAGGGCTTTGGAAGGGGAGTATGGCTGGGCAGGGGTAGGGCAGCGGCAGCCCTGGGTTCTTACCACTTCTCTGTCCCTTCCTCTTCTCAGGTCCCGTGTCATCCTCCACCCTGTCCTCTCGGCAGCCATCCTCACCACCTCCTGCCTCCTGCTCAGCCTCCTCTGCCTCCCCTGGAGGGTTTGCTTCCAGGGGGGGCTCCTTGATGGTAGGGGCTGGCTCCCCACCCTCCTCGGGTTCTACCTTCTCTGTGCCTGCACCCTTCTTCTCTCCATTCTCTTCTTCTTCATCTTCAGCCTCCTCCTCCCCTTCCTCCCCATCCTCTAGGCTGATGAAGCTGATGTAGGGGCTCAGGTCTCGCAGGTGGAGTGGAGGCTCATCTCCCAGGAGCCGGGCAGCCCCCAGGCCTGGTCCAGGGCCTGGCTCTGCCCCTTGCCCCAGGCTGATGCCCACATTACGGTTGGGCAAGACATGCAGTACCCAAAGGGCAGGGTCCTGGGGCAGCCTTCTGATCTGGGCCTCCAGCTGTCGCCAGTGGCCCTCAAGGCTGGCCCCTGCAGCTCCGCGCTCTGCCACAAACTTTCGGAACCAGCCAAAGAGGAGGGCAGCGAAATCAAGAAACTCATCTCGGTATCCAGACACAAACTCCATGTCTTCAGGGGCACAGGGCCTGGGCCCAGACTGAGCAGAGGAAGAGATATATTGTTAGGGACAGGGTAGTGGTGAGAGTTTGGGGGTGGGGCACAAAATTGGGGAGAGGGGGTTTGAGGGTCACTTGGGGTGGGATCTATAGATGAGTGTTCAGAGCTGAGAATATAGTTTTCAGGGCTGAGGATGGGAGTTCAGGTATGAAAAAGGGGCGGCTGGACCTGAAAGTGTGCGATTAGGGTTGCAGATGAGTATTCAGGGATGAGACGGTATTTGGGGTTTAAAATTTGAGGACTGAAACCCTCAAAAGTAGGGTTTAAATTAAGAATAGAGATGAGGGAGGGCTAATCCTATCGGGAAGGGTTTGGTGAGGAGGGAAGAATTTTGGATCCGCCTGTTGGGTATGGGTAGAAGAGCCAGGGCATCCCTGGGCTTGGAGTAGTTTGGCCGGGAGCCCCGGCGCCCCACTCCTCCGGTACCTGCAGCCGCCACCACTTTTCGAAGGTAAATACCTCGGGGGCTTGGGGGGTGATTCGGTCGTGACGTCAGGGCTGCCCGAGCCCACGGCCAGCTCCTCCGCGGTCACGCCCCCATGGCCTGGGGCGTCCACTGGTGGAGCGAGTCTGGGGCAGGCGTGGCGACTCTCCCTCGGCCATGTGACTGAAGCCAGGGAAGCGAAAGCATCTTGGAGGGGCGAGGCTGTCTAGCCGCTCACTCATACCGGCGACCTGGGCGGGTGGAGGGCACTGGCACTCCTGAGCCGAACCGAATCCGCCCGTGGGGCCCATGGCCCGCCTGCCCCTTCCTCGCCCCGCGTCGCCCGGCAGCCTGGGTTTTCTTTCGGTTTCTTCGAACCTTCCTGGCTGCCCCTTGGACTGAGGGCCGGGCCGGGCGCGGGGGCGCTGGGCCGGGGAGCTCCGCCTCCGGGGTTTCCCCGCGGTGGGCGGCTGGCGGGGCGCGGGCCCGGCCGTACCGACCGCGCACGGTCCGTTCTCCGCGCCGCGAGTGCAGGCAGGACCGCGCCGCCGCCTCGCGCCCCTTCGACGCCCGGGACTGGAGCGGGCGGCCGCCGTCTCCTCCAGAATCTCTGGCGGGCGCGGGGAGAAGCCAAAGCCACGGAGAGCACTCTGGAGCCCATCCGGGAGGCAGACAGGTCGAGGCAGCTCCATTCCCCCAAACTCCGCAAGTCCCGAGATGAGTCGAGGCTGGGGATTCTGGTTCTGCGCGGTCGGACTCCTGCTAGCGCTACAGATTCCGCCAGGTGAGGTGGGGGTGGGTGGGTGAGGGCGCCGCTGGAGGCCGAGACCCCGGAGTCCCCGGGCCAAGGGGATGAGTGGGGCGAGGAGACACTAGGGCTACGGAGTTAAGTGCCGAGCCAGGCGCTGCCAGGGTCTCCTGGGCAGCTGAGACAAGAAGGCCAGCCGCCTGAGGTTGGGGACAGGCTGGGGGACAGACACCTGGGCCCAGGTGGGATTACGGACGTTTTGGGAGTGTGATGTGTGGGTTGAGCCTGACAGACTCTGGGGCCTAGGGGAGAGGCTGCAATGGGGCAGGGGATTGGAGGCTAAGTAACAGCAGCGGGGAGGGGAGGCCCTTGGCTGGGGAACCTCTGCTGACCACCTCTATCCCGTGCAGGTGATGGCAATGAGGGCAGCGTCACTGGAAGTTGTCACTGTGATAGAACATTTTCTTCTGACTCCCCACCAAAGGTTAAATACAGGAATCATCTCCGAAAACAACTGAAAACCTACCACCGTTGTCCTCGATATATCAGGTAGTCTCACCTGTACCTGGGAGGGCAGCTCCTATGCAGTCCCTCCCTGCCAGGTGCCTCCAGGACCCTCTCTAATCAAACCCAAACTCCTTTCAGGAGGACCTTACCCCCCTGCCCCCCTTTTGGGTTCTGTTTGCTCCAGTTTTCACATCTTAAAACACCTTAATTTCTTTGGTCCAAATATCTGGGGATTCCCAGTTCCAGCAGAAATAGCTTTTTCTTCCCGACTTCACATCTTTGGAATGAGGAAACTCCTGGGCAAGGGAAGGAGCCACAGCTGAGACCAGGTTCTTTTTTCCTGTTCTTTGAGACAAAGAGTCTCACTGTGTTGCCCAGACTAAAGTGCCATGGCGTCAGCCTAGCTCACAGCAACCTCAAACTCCTGGACTCAGCAATCCTCCTGCCTCAGCCCCCTGAGTAGCTGGGACTACAGGCATGTGCCACTATGCCCGGCTAATATTTCCTATATATTTTTAGTTGTTCAGCTAATTTCTTTCTATTTTTAGTAGAGATGGGGTCTTGCTCTTGCTCAGGCTGATCTTGAACTCCTGAGCTCAAAGCATCCACCCACCTCGGCCTCGGCCTAACAGAGTGCTAGGATTACAGGCGTGAGCCACCAAGCCCCGCCTGAGACCAGGTTCTTTTTGTTGTGCAGGTTCCACCTACCTTTCGGGAGTGTGTGTGGGGGCAAGAAAGACCAGTGGGTTGAAGAATTGATGAGCTGCTTTGATCACAAAGGTAAGAGCTTCACCCACCTCTTCAGGCTTTGCCTCCAGGGCTCAGTGGCCTCCACTTCACAATTTTCTTTGCCTCAGCCCTTTCCCCATTGATGTTACACATTCCTACAATGATCTGGCCAAAGTATTTTCATTTCAGACTCTGTTGGCCAAAGGTCATTCACCACTACCTTCATGATTTTTGCCAATCATTCTACCACATGTGCTATTATTATTATTATTATTTTTTTTGAGACAGAGTCTCACTTTGTTGCCCAGGTTAGAGTGAGTGCCATGGCATCAGCCTGGCTCACAGCCACCTCAAACTCCTGGGCTCAAGCAATCCTACTGCCTCAGCCTCCCAAGTAGCTGGGACTATAGGCATGTGCCACCATGCCCGGCTAATTTTTCTATATATATTAGTTGGCCAATTAATTTCTTTCTATTTATAGTAGAGATGGGGTCTCGCCCTTGCTCAGGATGGTTTTGATCTCCCAACCTTGAGCAATCCACCCGCCTCTGCCTCCCAGAGTGTATTTTTTTTTTTGAGACAGTCTCACTCTGTTGCTCGGGCTAGAGTGCCATTGCGTCAACCTAGCTCACAGCAACCTCAAACTCCTGGGCTCAAGCAATCCTTCTGCCTCAGCCTCCCGAGTAGCTGGGACTACAGGCCGGCTAATTTTTTCTATATATTTTTAGTTGTCCAATTAATTTCTTTCTATTTTTAGTAGAGACTGGGTTTTGCCCTTGCTCAGGCTGGTTTTGAACTCCTGACCTTGAGTGATCCGCCCACCTCGGCCTCCCAGAGATGTGCTATTATTTACTTAATATTTTTTCTTGAAATCAAGGCATTACTTTTGTTTTCTAATATTTTATTATGAAAATTTAGATATAAACAAGTTAAACGAATTATACAGTGAACATCCACATGCCCACTACCTAGATTCTACACTATTTGATATATATTTTTATATAATATTTACATAATAAAACAAAGATATTTTATAGTTTACAATATTGACTTTATAGCATTTTACTATATTTGCTTTAATTCACATCCATCTGTCTATCCCTTTATCCATTATGAATCACCTTATTTTTTGATGCATTTCAAAGTAGGTTACAGGCATCATTGTACTTCATCCCAAAACATTTCAGCATGTATATATCTAGTAGGGGTCAATCTCTTAGTGTTCTTTTTCTTCTTTTGAGGTAAAATTTACATACAATGAAATGAATAAACCCTAAGTGTACACAAACCAGTTTTGAAAAACTTAAATAGCAACTTGTCCTAAGCAATAACATCTGTGAAGTCAAAAGTTTGATGTGCTGGTTGTATTTTTCTCTTAAAATATACAACCATTCAAAGTGTTCTTCCATGCCCTAGCTACAGCTGTCTTGTGTAGCAGCGGTGGTGCCCATACTGCCCTTCAGACTGCTGAGACCTATGTTATTTCATTTAATCCTCCCAGCTACCCTGGCTCTTGGTACTAAAATTATCCTCATTTTATAACTGAAAGATATGAGTCACAGAGAGGATAGAAACACTGGCAAGGTCACACGGCTACTTTGTAGCACAGCCAGGGGTGCAACCGTGGGCTCTCCTGACTTCTCAGTTCAGACACTGGTCCCAGTGGTTGCATCTTGTGGTTTAATCACTTCCTTGTCCCCTACTGTTCCCCTTTGTTGCTGCCTTCCTCTCCTCACCTTCAGCTGTCCTGTTGATGTTCTCCCTGCCGCAGTGCTCTTTCCTCTGTCAGAGCTCAGAACCCCAAAATATGGCACCTTAGTAATTAAGAAAACTGCAGAAGCAAGAAGCTCACTCCAAGCTTCCCCTGTCTTTCTGTGTGAGAGCTAACCACAAAGGAATTCTCTGGAAGTTAGTCATAACACCCTCATTCCAGAAATGTCCTGCCCTATACTGGAGGCCAAGAAGACTCTAAAACAAACAGGCCTTGCTGTTCCCCCCTTTTGGTCCAATCACACTTTTATGCAACTATTCTTTCTTCATTGAACCTAAGTATAAAAATAGTTTTCCCTGGGTATTTGGGTCTTCATTTCTGAAGGCTGCCATTTCATGTGGCACTTTGATTAAATTTGTTGTGCTTTTCTCTTGTTAATGTTTTTTTGTTATGGGGTGTCAGCCATGACTCTTATGATGGGTGGGGAAAAGATACTACTTTTTCTCCCCTACTCCCCTATCTGCCTCTTCACCTTGTCCCCGATAGCCCTGATTCCTCACTTTTTTTCTTTCCAGAATGTGGACATGCTTACTCGGAGACTCTGGCCCGCCAGAAACATTTACCTCCTCCCAGCACCCATATTTCTGAGCCCTCAGAGGGGGCACCTTCAGACATGCGCACCCCTGCTCAGACGCTCATGCCATCCACTCTGCAGTGTACCCAGCACCCCACCCTTCCACCAGGATCACTGTCCTTGGACGAAGAGCTCCCTCATCCCAATGAAACCACCACTCCCACTGTGGGCCACAGTCTTGGAGTTGGGCATAAGGCTGGGGAGAACCAGAAGCACCTGGAAGAGAATGCTGGTCCTGAAGCTAGGATATCAGCCTTAGTAGCAGTGCCATGCCTCCTGGGCTTCATCTTTATCCTCACTGGAATCCTCGCGTGTGTGCTGTGCAAGAGGAGGAGGCAGTCCTCTCCAGGTAAACTGACCCTCTGAACCCTACCCCCCGCAGGGACTCATAGCTTCCTTGGGAGGATCTTGCCCCTAGTAGCTCAGGTGGCTGGAAACCAGGCCCAGGCACAGAAATATGAAGGTTGCCTGTACCATGGACCACAGGCTGGGAGGGCAGAGTCAGCCAGAGTCCATAGAGTAGAGAGGGAGGGGAGCCACCATGGGCCCAGGGACCAGTGTGCTTGGAACAATAAGATGGCTATTCCATGAGGGTCAGGGTATGAAGATTAAAAAAAAAAAAGATGCAGGCTAGACACTAAGCTAGTGGGAAATGAAGCTGTGGAGGAAGGTGAAGGCCATTCATTCAATTCATAAATCTTTACTAAGCACCTACTGTGTACCAGATCATAGGGTTAATGTCTTAGAGTCTGACTCTCTAGTTCAAGCTATCAATCCCACCACTGCCTTGACCTCAGAGTTCATCTCTCAATTTCTTTATCCTTTTCAGATTTGCAATTTCATTACACAATTGTGGCACCAGATTCCAACGCCTGAGTCAAGAACAGGAGCTTGTGATGGTAGAGACTGTGATTTATTTTTGTAAAAAGTCCTTATGGTTAACCTCTGGCACGAGTAGATGCTCAATACGTATCTCTTAATATTTAGTAAACGACTAACTAGCTGCTGCTCTCTCTTAGAACTCTCATTTTTTAAAAAACTGCTGTATTACAAAATATTCCTTTTATATTGTGTAATGATTGCTTGAACAATTCTCTACGTGTATTTTTTAACTACTAAAATTTATTTTTGTAATGACTGACTCTTCTTTCTGTGGACATTGGCCTCAGACCCTTTATGATTCCAGGCTTCAGTTTTACTAATGGATTCCTCTTGTCCCAAGTTTCTTTTCACACAACATTAGTTGTTCCTCCCCAACCCCAGCCCTCTCCTACTTCCTCCCTGAACCCCACAACGAAAGCCTGGGCTTTCCCAGCCTCCCTCCTTAGTAGCTTCTGTGTTGCTGCCGCCATATACACTGGTTTTACTTCCTGAATCACTTCGTCAGTCATATACCTCAAATGAGAATCTGTTCTTGTTTTTATTATTTTTTATTATTAAAACCCTTACTTCCTATTCCTGTCTCTTCCAATGAAGAAGAATGTATCTTTACTGGGCCAAGTCATCGGGAAGCCCTGGGGCAGGGGCATGAAGTGTATGAAGAAATGGGTTGAGTGTCTGAATCTCCACCTCCTGTCTGGGCCTCTTGCTTATGGAGTGCAGAGGAGGGGCACCCTGCTGCAGAGGCCAGGGAACAGCTGTGGGCAGGCTTGGGCTTTAGTTTCTCCATTCCCACCTTTTGTCCCTTTGTCCTAGCATTCTCTTGATCAGCAGAGCATGTACCTGTCAGCCTGTGGTCCCCATCCTACAGGTTTCCAGGATCTGTCCCACAGTGCAGGTGATGGTTTCCCTCCAAGCTCTTCATCCACCGCCTTGGCCTAGTTTTCTAGCATCTGCTCACAGGTTCGGGCCACATCACTGAGCTTGAGGCGGGCATAGTCCACTCGCTTCAGAGCCATCTGACAGTCCTTCCTTGAAGAGTAGCTGGAGCCCTCATGGGGCTGCCCTGTGGCCACCTACAGGACAGTTAGAGTGATCAATGGAGCATGGGCTCTTTTACCCATACCCTGGCCTGGCATCAAGTCTCTTGTTTCATTTCTTCCCTGAGTTTGAATCTGTTATGCCACCTGGTAGCTGGGTGACATGGGGTGAATCATTTAACTTCTGTTAACCTCATCTTTAAAGTGAGGTGGCAATAACTACTTTCTAGAGTTGTTGCAGGATAAGATAATGTACAGCGTCTTGCACACTGTAAAAATTCGTAATTGTTGGTAGCCCTTGTTACGACTTCAGAATTCAATCCTGTCCCTTTTCTCAGAATGTAAACATCTGCGGCCTCATGCACTTGATGTCAGGCCAAGTTTCCCTGGACAAAGTCCTGTGGCTTTAGCATTACACACCCTCCTCCAGGCACTTCCCTATCTGGCAGCTTATGTAATGCTACCCCTCCTCCACGAGGTAGGCAGGGACGCCTTTAATGTCTTCCTTTTTTTTTTTTTTTTTGGAGACAGCGTCTCACTTTGTTGCCCCGGCTAGAGTGCCGTGGCATCAGCCTAGCTCACAGCAACCTCAAACTCCTGGGCTCAAGCAATCCTGCTGCCTCAGCCTCCCGAGTAGCTGGGACTACAGGCATGCGCCACCATGCCTGGCTAATTTTTTCTATTTTTAGTTGTCCAGCTAATTTCTTTCTATTTTAGTAGAGACGGGGGTCTCGCTCTTGCTCAGGCTGGTCTCGAACTCCTGAGCTCAAACAATCCTCCCGTCTCGGCCAACAGGCGTTAGCCACCGCGCCGGGCTTAATTATTTCCTTTTAAAGGAAGAAACCGGTCCTGGAAGGCCGCCCAACACACTCACCTGGGTGAGGTAGCGGATCTGGGCCGACAGCTCCGCCTCGACGTGCTGCACTGAAGCGGTGAAGGCCGCCGCCTGCCGGTCCAGGAGCCGCTCATTGGTTTTTTCCTTGGACAATTCTAGGATGACAGTACCTGCCATGGCCAAGAGAGGGCGCAGTTGCCAGGCAACTGCCAGCACAGCCCCGCCCCAAGGCCTGCCCCTCACCCGCACCGCTAGTACAGCCCGCCCCAAGGCCTGCCCCTCACATCCCGCACCGCCAGTACGGCCCCGCACCGCCAGCATAGCCCCGCCCTAAGGCCTGCCCCTCATACTCCGCACCGCCAGTACAGCCCCGCACCGTCAGTATAGCCCCGCCCTAAGGCCTGCCCCTCACAGCCCGCAACGTCGCCGCGCATGCTCTTAGGATCCCTCCCAATCCTGCTCCAAGTCTCCGATTCTCGCATGTGCGCGCAACTCGGCCTCGCTATCTCACTGCGGACCTGCATTCTGAAGGATGGCGCCAATTTCCCTTTCAATGTCTTCCAGGGCGCGTAGTCGCTCGTTCGCCAGGCTGTATGTAGCCATCATGCGTCTGAGAATCTTCCACGGGATTTCCCCCTGGAAACGCGAGGATTGGTCCCGGAAGTATCCCTGGGTTTGCGCCTGCGCAGAGGACGCTGTCTAGCGCACACTACAATTCCCAGGATGCTTAGCGCAGCCGCACGCTTCTCGGTCCACCTGGTGAACTACAGCTCCCAGGGAGTCCTGCGCGTGGCCGGATCTGCGCCTACACCGGGCGAGGGTGGGGTACCTGTGGTAAGAGGCGATATGGAAATATCCCGAAGCCTAAAGCCGTTCACGCCTGTCATCCGTCAGTATACTGTCTTGTGGCCTATGTTTAATTCTACGAGAATTTGTTAAGTGTCTGCTGGGTGCTAGGTGACCAGAGTGGGAGTTTTGGGGGCATTCCTTCAGACTGAATAGCCCTGGGCCCTTTGTTCACTCCACCCAAGGAATGCTTGACTTGGTGAGTGTTACGTTAGTCTTCCTAGCGCTTCCCTCTGACCATGAGCCCAGCTGGAACACAGACTACTGATATATTCTCAGATGCTGGCTCCTTCCAGCCCATTTCTCTTTCCCTTTCTGATTACCTTTTATGTGCTGGGCTCCGGGGAATACGAAGATGAATGAGATGGACTCTCACGTGATAATGGAGTAGATGTTTTGTTAGAGCTGTGCCCAGAGTATATGGCAAGGATCACGGAGAAAGGATTATTAGAGGAAGTGCTGCTTAAATTGAACCTTTTTATTTTTTCAGGGAGAGTTTAGCTCTGTCACCCAGGCTGGTATGCAGTGGTGTGGTCATAGCTCAGTGCAGCATTGAACTCCTAGGCTCAAGCAATCCTCCCACTTTAGCCTCTCCAGTAGCTAGGACTACAGGTGCGAACCACCACGCCCAACTAATTTTGAAATTTTTTGTAGAAACAGGATCTTGCTATGTTGCCCGGGCTGGTCTCAAACTCCTGCCTCTGCCTCCCAAAGTTCTGGGATTACAGTCATGAGCTACTGCTCCCAGCGTTTAACTGAATTTTAAATGGTTGACTAGGTGGCTGAGAGGTGGGAGTGGAAAAGGGAAACAGCATATGCAAGAGCGTGGTGCTGTGAGGGACCTAGCGCATTTGAAGTCCAGCAGGGGGCTCAGTTTGGCTAGAGTGCATGGAGTATTGTGGAGGTTAGGTGTGACAGTGGTGAGACTGAAAGGAGAGAGAGATCAGGAAAAAGCTTGCCAGGTAAGTAATTTGGACTTTATTCTGAAGGCATTTGGGAGATTCTGGGATTATAGGTGTGAGCCACTGTGCCCAGCCAGGAGGATTATTTGAAGTCATTAGGCCATCAGATATTTTTCTTGACTCCATATATTAATATGTTGGTGACTAATCTCCTTCAACCCATCAGAATACTGGAGGTTTCTTTGTTGGAGATGGAAAACAGGGTTTTTAGCTTGGATGCCACCTGGGCGTAGCTGAGGGCAAGAGTACTGCATTGAAAACAGAGATTAAGTGAAAGTTTATATACTGAATGGTGGTTTCTGAAACTCTGGTGACGAGGCTTATACTTTCCAGATCACAGACTAGAAGACTTTTCTCTGGAGAATTTGATAGTTAGAGAAAAGACCTAAGGATGTTAACATCAGGGGTTCTCCAACCAAACAGTTGGCCAGATCTCCACATAGTGAAACTCACAGTTGGTAAGTCCCATCTGTGTACATGGAACTTATACTCAACTTCTTAGCATCTCACTCTTAAATATGAGCAGAAAGCAAAAGGTTTCTAGATATTCAAAGAAACTTTCTTTTTTTAAAAATTTATTTTTTAATTTAAGCGGGGAGAGGCCCCTCCATCACCCCACCACTCCCCTCCTCCGAAGAAACTTCTAACATGAAAGACAGAGACCAAAATAAAACGGAAAAAAAAAAACAAAAAAAACCCCAAAAAACAACTGTCGAAGCTCTTGGATAAAAGATACTGTAAAAAAGAATTGAATCTAAGAAAGCATCCTTGAAAAATCAAACTATGGGGGAAGTAATGAAAAATCTATCACAAGAGTTGATAAGAGAAAGGGTTAAAAGAGAAATTGAGGAACTCTTCCAGCAAGCAAAGCAAAAGAAAAGAGATGGCATATAGGAAAGAAAATTAGAGAATCAATCCAGGAGACTTACATTCTAGAAGGAGAGATCACAGAGAAAATGACGGGGGAAGAAAGGACCTATGCTTTCAGATTAAAAGGGCCCATCAAGTGCCCAGGGAAATGAAGGAAAACAGACCTGAGAACACTAGACTCAAAGAAAAAGGCATTGCAAAAGCTTTCATAGAGAAAACAGACCATATGCTAAGAATCAGCAACCAGAATGGCCACTGGGCCTTTTTTTTTGAGACAATCTTGCTCTGTTACCCAGGCTAGAGTGCAGTGATCATATAATAGCAAATTGCAACCTGTAACTCCTGAGCTCAAGTGATCCTCTGACTTTAACCTCTTGAGTAGCTAGGACTACAGGTGTGTGCCATCATACCTGGCTAATTTTTAAATTGTTTTTGCAGAAATGGGGTCTGGAATCGTTGCCCAGACTGGTCTTGAACTCCTGGGCTCAAGCAATCTTCTGCTTTGGTCTTCCAAATTGCTGGGATTACAGGTGTGAGCCACTCGGCCTGGCTGGGCCTCTTAATAGTAATGTTCCTCACTAGAAGACAGTAGAGCAATGCCTTCAACATTTTGGAGGAAAGTGATTTCCAATCTAGAATTCTAT